ATCAACACAGGCTCTGTACTATAGAAATAAAAGTACAGGTCCATTCAGGGGTCGGCAAATGTCTTCTGTAAAGGACCAAATAGCAAACGTGTTCAGCTTTAGGGGCCATTTGTCTCTATGAAAATTACTCAACTCTGCCATTGTAGCTCAAAAGGAACCATAGATTCTAAACCAGTGAGCATGGCTGTTTCAATAAAACTTTATTTAATCCTGTGGGCTGGATTTGGCTTGTGGACCACAGTTTGCAGAACCCAGTTACAGATACACATACTCCAGTATCTGCCTGGCCGAGCTATATCCAAACAAGCCACTTAAATGTCTATCCAATGGGGATTAGCTAAATAATGTATAATAAATCCTCACTGTGAAGATCAGAGTGACTATTTTTAAAAAATGGTTGGGCCCTGTGTGTGTTGAAAAGGAAAGACATTTACGACAGTAATTTAAAAATACTTTTATTATGAAAAACTTTAAATGTACAGAAAAGTTTAACAAAATTTATAGTGAGCACCTGAATGTCCACCACCTAGATTCTACCATTAACATTTTACTTATTTTTACCACATATTCATCCATTGATTCATGATAGATTATTAGGTGAAAAAAATGAGGCATGAAATGTACTATATTAATTCCATTTTAGCACAAGTGTTTGTAAAGTCGAGACAAAAGTATCAAAAGAGATACCTGAACTTTTTTTAAATCCTCACCCAAAGAGATATGTTTATTGATTTTAGAGAAGGAGAGACATCGATGTGAGAAAGAGACGTCGATTGGTTGCCTCCAGTAGGCACCCTGACCTGGGGTCAAACCTGCACCCTGTTAACGTATAGGACAACGCTCCAATCACTGGGCTCCCAGCCCGGATGAGCTGTCTGAACTCTATATTGATGAGCTGAGTGCTGGGATTGTATGTAAGAAGAGGAAGAAATGATTGTGCTATTTCTCTGCTCATCTCTAATGTTGAATTAGTTGTGAAAAGTGTAAAGCCCTAAGAAGAAATTTTTAAAACACTTCTTTATAAAAACGGAACAGTCTAGTCCAGCCCTTGACATCTCCTTAAAGGGAAACTGATTGAGAACCAGGGCTCCAGTTCAGGGAGGTGGCTCATTCCCTGAGGCCCACCTGAGGGCCTTACCCAGCCCTGCCAGGGCACGGGCAGGCACACAGGAATAACCAGGCCCCTGCATGTCCGTGGGTGCACTCACATGCTTAGTTCACCCTTCATGCCCCCCTACACAGCACACACACAGCCAAAGCTCACCTCTGCCTGCCCAGGCTGCAGCGACTCTCCACACCCAGACCCTACCCAGGAGCAGGTGTGTCCACGTACCTGCTGGGTCCTCCATCACCAATAGTGCCTCCTGAGGGCTGTCCAGACCATCTGGAAGAGATACAGGACTGGTCCTCTTCTAGTTCCTGTTTATTCACAGACACCTCTGTCCCCAAGAGTCCAATCGACATCCCTTTCCTAATCTCAGGCCCCACTTGTAGTCAGCCTCTTCCAGAAGGATCTATGGCCCCCTCCTCATTACATTCTTTTCATACATTTATGAGAGCTCCTTCCAAGCCACGTGACAAACTACCCAGGAGCTCCCAGGCCTGTGGGGAGACGGGCACAGGTGTGGTGGGTGCAGGGCACAGAGGCGGGCGCCAGGTGGGGGTTGTCCTGTAAATGGCAAGATCAGAGCTGAGTTTGGGAAGGACCAGCATCTGCCCAGTGGAGGGGAGTGGTGGCTACAGTCAGGGAGGTTGTGGTAGGAAGGGCCTCAGGATGGGGAGTTCAGGGAGACTGGAGTGGTGGGAGGGCGACAGAGGTCAGGAAGGCGTCCCTTCCCACTTATGCAGGGCAACTTGGCTCACAGCCAAGGGCCCCAGGAAGGGAGGTTTCTCCCCCAGGAAAGGGACTCCATTCCCACCGCGCCTGCCCCTCCGGCCCCCTCTGCCCAGGAGAGCAGAAATGGGGTGGGCGTTGATGGTAATCTCCCTCTTCCCAGTCCCCTCCGGTCCTCCTCATAGTCTCCCTTTCAGTGAGCGCCTGGGGTATTGTTCCACCTTTGTAAAGCGGGGGATCGAGTGACAAAGCCGGGTGGGTGGGCAGGCGGCCCAAGAGGCCTCTTCTCTCCCAGGCAGCATCTGTATGGGGGAGGGGCTGTTCCATAACCCCTCCCCACCTCTGGCTTCCCAAGAGCAGCTGTTACCATGGTGACAGGCCTGGCATCCCCTGGCTCCTGGGGCACCCTCCCCATTACACTGCCAGAGGGAAGGGCCCCTGATTCTTCTACACCCTCAAGGGGTGGGGGTAAGGGGCCTGGGAGGGTTGGGGCATAAAAAACCTGGTTCCCAAGCCAGTCCTAACAATGGGAAGCCTCCACCAGTCTGAGCTTCCCACTCTGGCTGCCAGCAAAGGGGACAGCTCTGGAGCCCCCTCCTCCCACCAACACCATAATGTAGGGGCTCAGGAGGCAGGGTCATGCTCCACTGTCATCCATGCAACTGTACCTCCTCAGGGCAAGATACAGAGAAAAATAAAACGTCCCCTTGGCCTTGAGCAGCTGCTAGAATTGAAGCAGAGGGGGGAATGGATGGCGTATGTGAGCGCACAAGCAGGCGGACCGTGGGTGGGCAAGGATCCTGGGCCCACAGAGCAGAGCCTCCGCTCCATCCAGGACAGAGGGCTGCCCTTAGGAGGTAATGCTGGGCAGCCAGAGCAGCAGGGAAGGGCCTCTGAGCTGGGGGTTGGAGGCAAGGCCAGGTGGCATGGTGTTTCCCGGGAGGAGCTGGAATGGGGGGAGGAGGGGAATTGGCAGGAAATGAAGAGGCAACTGGGGAAGTTATGCCTTGAAGGGTTTCTGCTGCCGTCTCATCTCCATGAGCAAGAGCTGTCACCCTGTGTAATGGCATTTTGGCAATGAACCCCTGTTCTCCTTGACCAGGTTATCAAAGTCACAGCCTTTCCCAAAGGTCCCTCCCTCCTGCCCTACCTCCTGGGGAAGCTCAGTATCTTGCAGCAGCACCTCTCAGGGCTCAGGGGAGCCGAGCATATACTATGCACTGGGCACGGTGCTGGCTGCACCTCCTTGGATGCCCAGTTTCTCGTGTCCCGTGGAGAACAAGAGGCTGGACGCACGCCTGCACAGAGCATCTTCCTTTCCTTCCCCCTTCCTCATTCCAGCTCAGCTCTTAGAGGGGTGAGCACTGATTACAGCCACTGCCCCGACTCCTTCTGAGCCCCCACCACCTGCCAGGCTCTACAGAAGGGTGAGCTGGGCCGGCTGGGCAGAAGCCCTTCCTCTGGTGGGGACAGGCAGCCTCATGCAGTGGAAGAGCCTGAATGCCAACCCTGACCCTGTGAGTTCTATAATTTAGGGCAAATAGCTTAAGTTTTCTGAGCCTCAATTTCTCATCTGTAAAATGGGCTCAGAGTTCCTTGTAGGACTATGAGAGTTTAAAATGCCTGGCGTGGGGCTGCTTGGCTTTCCTTAAGTCCTCAGTCAGTCTCCTAGCCCTCCTGCAGGTCACTCCCTTAGTCATTCATCCTCTAAGCAACCCTGAGCAGCTGCTAGGGGGACTGAACTTGTGCTGAGCACACATATTGAATCTGAGTCTGAGTCTTCCAGATACTCCTCGGGGGTGAGGGCAGATGGGAGGTGGGCAAAGGAGTGGGGACAGCAGTCTCAACGTGAGGCCCAAACCAGAGCAGGGCCCGGTGAGTGGTGTGCTGGATGCCCTTGGGTTTCACCCACAGAGCTGCCCAGGGCCCATGGAGGGTACCTGGCTGAGCAGAAGTGGGAGGACTGCAGTGCTCTGGGACCCCAGGGAGCCCCCACAATCCAGCCCCTCAGAAACACCTTCCCAACCTGGGGGTGTTCGAGTGGGTGGGGTGGGCAGTAAGGGGCCTCAGTCTCAGACCTCATACACTTCTTGTCATCTGTCACCGACAGACCGACCATATCCCATAGGGGTTCACAGTTACAGCGTGGTGTCCTGCCCTGGTGGTTCCATCTGTACCCCAGGAAGGACAGTCATCCCCATCCCCACGGTTTGAGTGAGGCCCGCAGAAGCAGGGGGCGTAATCATCCAA